GATTGTGATAATTCATTTATTTGGCTTGCCGGCCATTACGCGTTAGAAGCTTATTATTTTTGGATGACCTCAGCTAAGCTCGCCTACAGGCCCTGCACCTCATGGACAAGCCCCAGAGCTCGGATCACATGTGACTGCCAGCAAGCAGACAGCTGAGAGAAACAGGAGACACAATTTAGCTGAAGGAAATATTTTTCTTTGCATTTATGAAAGTAAGAGAAAGAAAGGACGGCCTACAGGAGAAAAAAAAATGAAGGTCGGGTAAGGGGATTTATTTCTAGAGTTGTTTTGCTTCTTCGATATCTTTAGATCACACATAGTGGCCTTGTTGGAGTGAGGAGGAAACCAGGAGAGGTGCATTGTGTCTGTATTTGTGTGCAACTTGCACTCAGCACTTTTTCTATGTGGCTCTTATTTGCATATTTGTTTTTGTGCGTGTGCAGCACACGATCCGTCTCTCCATACACTATATTTGCCGCTCTCTTTATCTGCGGAAGTAAGGTGGCACATACCTGGGCCTTCAGCATCTCCTTACAGCCGTGCAGTCTGCCAGCGGATCCGTTGGTAGTGATCTTGCGTTACATCTATGTCTGGGGGGCTGAGCGGCGGTTAGCAGTAACATGTGTTAGGGAGGTGGTAGCACTGATGGAATTCTACACTTGGCAGCCTTCCAGGCAGCGCTGGTATGTGTTTAAAATACTTTCAAGGAACAAAACACGCTTTTGTTGTTTGCCGGGCCAAGTGGGGCTGTTTTTGTCTCCGATGGCCCCTGGGGGCACAGGGGATAGCACCGGAAGCTGGTGACGCTCCAAAAAGAAGGTATACTCAATAACAAGCTTCCCCTCAAAAAAACTGATGAAAGGAGATAAGAGGATTTTATTTTCACAATGTCTAGGGTGCACATTTGCATGCATGCACACACTCTTAACGGACACAAATAGGAAAACAGGAAGTGTGTACGGAATCTTTACATATAAAACTCGTACACACATGCTCTGACACACTCACAGTGGTTATTCAAACATAGCTGTGGTAGTGGAGTGTTCATTAGCTGACTGCTTCTACACTTAATGACAGGAAAGAGTCATGTTTGTACTGAATACCCTAATTTGTCATTTGTTTTATGGAGGAAAACACAGCTTCACCGCTATGCACTGCTTTCCAAATATTTGTGTCGTATTACCGGTGCACACGCACAATCACAGGCAAAGACAAAGAGACACACTTGAGAGGTAAAATCAAAAAAAGGTAGAGTTGAAATTATTGATGCATAAAAACCAGGCACACACACAGATACAGTAATAAGGAAATAAGCATCGAAATTGAACCAACCCCCGCAACCCACACACACACTTTCCCGTCCACGCACAGAGAGATAAAAGACGTTGTGAGAAGATGTCGTTGCCTTGGCTTATTAAGGATTCAGTTAATGAGGCAGCTTTGTCACCACAGATATAACAAATGAATATGAGACGGCAGTGCTGCTTTCCTCCCCCCAATCCCAGGGAGCGAGCGCAGGGGAGGTGTGTGTGTGTTTCTGTTTATGGGTGTGTGAGAAAGGTGTTTTGTAAACATCTCATTCTGCATAATGAATGCAGTCCTCTGTCATTCTCACCCTCAGACACACACACACACACACACACACACACACACACACACACACACACACACACACACACACACACACACACACACACTGCAGCAGGAAACCACTGCACAAGGGAGCTTCCTTTACCTGTCAAATTGACTCTCCTCCCCTCTCCTCATACAAGTCCCAGTGTGTGTGTGAGTGTCATATACACGGCTCACAATGTTGTGTTTTTGACAGGTAAACAGGAAGTCCCGAGTGTCATAATTTGCATTCTGTGTGTATGGGGGTGTGTACGCCCACCTCCTCCACCATCGGGAGGTGTCTGTGCCTGTTTAGGTTCACCCAGGGAATGCTGTTTAGCTGATTTTGATTGGCCCACAGGGAGTGTTAGCTTATTTGGTTGTTTGCCAAACACTAATTCCCAACAATTAACCACCATGCACTCTGGAGAGGTGCCATATTGACAGGGATGGGCCTTTTTGCTGTTCCGTACACACAACACACATACACGGACAATTATATGACACAAATATGCATGTACAGCACACACAAATCAGCCGCGGCATAAATTACATACACATTTCAAGCAGACACACACGGGCGCAAACCCAGGAGCAGGAACAGTGTGTTTGTGTGTTTGAATATGCATTACACAGCCCACGCCTGGCAGGAGTCAAAGTGCTCCTTTAAAAGTTCATAAATCATGGATGTTCTGGCCTGTGATCACCAGACCGCCTGCATTATAGGCCTGCAGAGTGCCAGAGAGCGACAGACAGCCCTCTAGTTTAGGTCTTAAACAAACCCTCTGGAATGTGCTGATGGGGAGAGAATTAATATTAGGCCTAAACCTATCTGGCAGCCCGGTTCAACCCCAAGTATATAATCCAGCTACTCTCCGCCGACGCAGCCTCAAAACAAATAGTATATAGGTTTGGACATGGAAGGCATTTCAATCCACTTCTGTTTTACTTTTAATCTGGATCCAGTGTGACTACCTTAATGACCATGCCCTTATGAATCTGTCTATCTCCTGAAAAGACTCATCCCTTTCTCCTATGCTAACAACATGAGCATGTCTCATCGCATATTTCCAATGAACTTTCCTCCTGTGGCAGTCGTTAATATAAAGCTGAAGGTTGTCACTGGAGGAAAGAAAAGCCTTGTTTGATTACTAGCTTTTTCATTCGATTCTAAGTAGCCCCCCCCCCATTTTGAGCCAAGTGCTCATGTAATAAAAGTATATTACAGTGAAGTCCAGACACGATTGAATCGAGAAAGAACAAATATCACGGAGCAGTGAAGCGTACCTGTTTTTATAGAAGTAATGATTGATGACAGGGGGGATGTACGCAAGTATAGGGGTGGTGGGTGGGGTCTAGCATATGGCCATTATGAAGGGTCAGAATAAGATGATTGGTCCATATCCATTTTGACCAGGGGCAGCAACCTTTAAGGAGAAATTCACAGTTTTGTAGCACAGAACCATGATTGGCAACATTTTCTAAAGTGTATATATATCCTTGTTGTGCATGCATGTTTAATATATATATATATATATATACACGTGTGTGGTTTCCACAGAAAAGGCTCAGAAAGCCCAGTTCTCCTGCGAGGGAGGGAGGGTAAAGAAAAGAGGTAAAGAGAGAAGGAGCAAGGGAGGCCTCCTTTCACAGAGAAACAAAGATAGCTGTAATTAATGGCCCTGAGCTCTGGTCTAGGGGAGCTTTCTTCTGACAACTGCGACTTAATTAAAACTTAAGACTTCTGAAAGGGCCTCTGACTGCGAGGGGACGTCCCACCGTCTCGTGAGAAAAACCTTGTAAGATTTCCTACAAAAGATAGAAAGAGGGAGAGACAGAGAGAAAAGATGTGTTAGCGGCTGTAGCTATGTTGCTAATCCCTGTTTGTCAAAGGAGGAAGGGGGGTGGGGGGGTTATAACTCACACACCTGCAGCTAACTGTGCCCCCCCTCCTCCCACAACACACACCTCCCACACACACATTGTTGAGTCTCTTTTCCTGCTCCATATTAAATGAGGCAACATGACAAAGTATCAACTTTTTACGTGGTTCAAAAATGAAACATCTTCCTGCTAGAGACATAGTTAGCACACACACACACACACACACACACACGCACACACACACACACACACACACACACACACACACACACACACACACGCACACACGCCATTATGTGTATTAATTCATGCATAGAAGCCTGCACCTGTTTCTCACATGGGCTGTATGAATAAATCTTAACAAAGCAGAAACTAACCATCATGAGCCACCTCTGTGTCTCTTTGCCTTGCTCTCTTCCCCCCCCCCCCCCACAGAGGATCAGATAATAAAAGCTTGGCCTGGTACTTTGTTTTTGTGCATTGTTCATTAGCCCGGCAGCAACAACAGAGGCACACTTGATATGCTTGGCTTGACTGGATGTATGGGAGTAGGGCAAGGTGGGATGGGGGGTGTTTGTGCGTGCATGTGTGTGTGCGCATGTGTGTGCATGTGCGCGTGCGCATGCACACATCGAGGTAGGGGGTAGCTTTGCATGGCTGCAATGCCATTAAGGAGGCAACTGGAAATTAAGGGCTTGCAACTGACAGCACACGTTGAATGAGAAACCCCTGCAGCTGCCCACAATGAGCAGAGCCGGACAATGTGCATGTTAAAGACAAAAACACTGTTCTGAACTCAACCCTTATCTGACTTCCTGTGTGTTGGTAATCTTTATGTCACCTAAAACATGTCCAGTTCATTTAGAAGGTATAGTGTGTGAACATAAACTCCAAACTCCTTTTGTTACTGTGATAATAATAAGGATGTCCAGAGGAGTTATTGCTCTAGAATGGTAGCTTATTTTAAGCACTGCCCACTAAATTGTTTAAATAAACCGCAGACAGAAATTATATACGACCAAAGATTTATATCCTAAAGTTAAAAAAGACACAATTATTGTCCATTAACCGTCAATCTACCCATTGCCTGTGTTCTTGTTTTGAAAACAGGTATTTCTGGGTTTTTTTTGCTTTGGAATTTTGCAACCAAACTTTTAAAAGAGGAAACAAATGCAGCTGCGAGAACAATAACTCCCTTGAATTTTACCACAGGACGCCGTAAAACATGAACTCCATCTCACATCTGCACCCTCCTCTCTTGTGTTCCACAGCACTTGCAGAAGCAGGACAGCGCGTACAGCCTGGAGTCGTGTGTCTACTACTGCACGCTGTGCGACTACTCCACCAAGGCCCGCCTCAACCTGGTGCAGCACGCCCGCTCCGCTCGCCACCAGCAGAACGAGGGGCTGAGGAAGCTGCAGCTGCACCAGCAGGGCCTGGGAGGGGACGAGGAGGGACTGAGCTTCCACGAGCTGTTCCACGTCAAGGAGAGCCCCTCCAGCCAAGGTCAGTGCTTCTTAACCTGCTCTGTCTGTCAGCTTAGGATGTCGATTGTTCTGATTTTTGAGGCTATTTTCTGATAGTTTTCTCATTTGATCAACTTCCTTCTTTCTGACACACACCATGCCATTTTTCCTGTGTTTTAAAGTCTGTTTGATTCAAGTTAAATGCTGATTCAAGTTGTCGGGGTCCGTTTTCTTGGTTTGAAGTCAGATCAATCTTTCTTTACTCTTTTTTCTCTTTTTTTCTGCACCACTCCCTCTTTATTCTGTCAAACCTCCCTCCCTTGCTGCCTCCCTCCTTTGGCCTTCATATCCAGATCACGTCTCTCGATACAGACCCGTCCATTCCTCCTAATCTCTCCAAAATGAGCATACTGTTCCTATTAGGCTGCCGTGCTTATATGTGCAACACAAACACACACATACACACACACACACACACACTGTCCCGTGCACAGGGACATCCCAGGCAGACAAGCAGTCAGCTTATGAAATTTCACCTTGGGAGTATCTCGTAGTGAAAAGGGCCTGTACACACATATGTTACTCACACACACATACGTTAGTCACACTCACACACACACACATGCACACACACGTATGCTACAGCTACACAGTCTCTCCCTGGAGTGAAGCTTTCATTTCCTTTTCTCATGACCCAAAGCAATTTGGCTTTCATTTTAAGACTCTCCGTCCTGCCAGCAGCTAAATAAGTGTAACAGAACTGTAAAACATTCAGAGAGACAAAAAAAAAAAAGATTAATCGTTTTTTCTTTGAGTGGGGGTTGGATGGTTTGGGTGAGGGGTTGCAGGGTGTAAGGGGAGGGGGCTGCGCTGTAATTTAAACCAGAAGACCAAGAGTCAGGGTCCATTATTTAGTCATCCCTATGTTAATGCTGCTGGGAGAAAATGAGCGCTTAACTTGTTTTTGCTTTGCTTGACCTGAAGGAGCGGGTGGGATGGGGTTTTAAAGGGGGGCTAACACGTTTTGAATAGCATTCCAGAATAGCATTAGTCCATACATCCATCTGTGTGTGTGTGTGCTCCCCAAAGTGTCCTATTTATACTGTACATGTACTCCCAAAACAGATGGGGGCCCAGCGCTTAGAAACATATGTGAATCCCAACACACACACACACACACACACACACACACACACACACACACGAACAGAAGAAGAGCTCCCAATCCTGAAATGGAGACTGTAGCCGGCGTACGTTTGGTTTTAATTACACATGGATCAAAGTTTCGGTGAGACTTTGGGGTGCAGCAGAAAAGCATGCTTAGATAAATCATTACCGTGCATTTTACAAAACCCCCCGCCACCTCTCTCATTCTCCTGCTCTCCTTTCGCATCCCCCTTTCTCTCCTTCTTTGTCCTGGTTATTCCATCTCTCTCTCTTTACTGCTCCTGTCCGGGTTTTATTTAAATAAAGAACACAAGCCCAGCTTCAAGCCTTTTTTTTCTTTTTACCTCTCAAACCCGTGAGCACAACCAGGTTTTAAACCTGTCATAAGCAATATTCGCCTGCTTCACCTATTTCAAATGTTCCACTCTTAAAACACACCATATTTGTTGCTCGGGGCCCCCGTTTTATACCTTGGCTTTGATGCCACATGGTGAATTTCCATGAGGAAGCTAGTGCAAAGCTTAAGCGGACGCTGGCGGGGTCCAAAATGCTAAGCCCCTTTTTTTGGATGCCCTCCTTTTGCCCACTCTATATAATTTATAGAACAACTGTATTCTTTCACAGGGTACGTGGTAAATGTTTCAAAAGTATTTCCTTGTAGACCGTACACATTTGGCAGGTGTAGGCAAAGGGAGGGGTAAGAGTGTTTCAGCCAGAGATCAAACACTGAGAGTTAATGTAATAAATCGGGCTCACATTCATGTTCTAAAGTTCTGTCAGATTTGGTATATTTTTAGCTTTTTTTCTTTTTTAGTAGATGAACCCTTTGAGCTTTCGCAAACACTACATGCTTCAGTATGATATGTTCTATGGAAGAAAGGGTATGCTATAGCAGCATTGGGCTCCTAAAGTGATAGATGATGTGAATATTCTCACAGATGGAAAAGGCTCTATAGTAGGCAACATTTCGAGCCAGTGTTTGGTTTAAGGACCCTCAATTTATGTGTACGTGCATGTGTATGTGTGCTGTTAGTTTTCTGGGGCTGCAACTCCTGACTCGAGCACTTTCTGTTCATTAGAGACTGGTATGAAAAAGATTAATTTAAGTGCTGACCGGTATCTTTCTCTTAAAGCCTGGGACCTGGCACTGAGCCAGATAATTATAGGCCCATTTGGGAATAAGAGTTCTAATGCTCTGGACTTTATGTACATGTGAATGGCTTTCATTAAACAATTTTGATGCTGATTTTATGGCCTAATTAAGGATACAGGACTGCAGAGGCTCAGCTTAAGGGTATAGGTGTTTTGAACAAAGACAGGAGTGTACAGTGAACATTTCTGCTGGACTGCATTGTGTGCGTTTCAATACATGTGTTTGCCGGCATGTTTATTTGAGAACCTTTCACTCTTTGTTATCCTTTTGATTCTGTAATTCCCCAAACCTGGGCCCAGACATCTCATCCTTTACACTAGGTAAACAGCATTGTGAAAGCTCGGTGTGTGTGTGTGTGTGTGTGTGTGTGTGTGTGTGTGTGTGTGTGTGTGTGTGTGTGTGTGTGTGTGTGTGTGTGTGGTGTGTGTGTGTGTGTGTGTGTGTGTGTGTGTGTGTGTGTGTGTGTGTGTGTGTGTGTGTGTGTGTGTGTGTGTGTGTGTGTGTGTGTGTGTGTGTGTGTCTTTATCTAATGTTACATGTGCAAACAGTAACTCACTGACTGTACAGCAAAAACGTTTTACTATGGTCTTTTAGTGGTGTCCTTCGGGGACAATACACCCACTGTGCCTTGTGCATTGCTGAGAGATTGTCTGTGTGTACAATTAGTAGTGTTAAACAAAATTGAGTTTATAAAAAATGCCAGTTTGCATCAGATGCATAAATGAATTGCCTCTCAACATGGAGGACTTGGAAGCCATTTTGCTTTGAGGGTTGTCCAAAAGTTGTTAGAGAAATTAGATTTGTGTGTGCCCTTCTCTGTAATGAAGTTATGCCCTGAATAGAGCTGTTTAGTGAAGAAAAATATGACAGATCGCGAGTCATGGGTATTCCATCATCGATTTTATAATTTCAACAATTTGTTTAGCTGTATTTTTGGAGACATTAAGAGTCTCTGAAGTTAAGTTGTTTTCTCCCTTTGACTGCTGCCGCCTAAGTCTCAATCATCTGACCATTTGTTTAGCCATAAAGAACACTGGGAGGAGGTGTGTGTGCATTAGTGTGTTTTTTTCTGTGTATCCTTGCCCATTAGCCTTGTGTTCCATCATGTGTAACACTCCTCATAAGCCAGACCAAGCAGAAACACCCAGGCCTCTCTGCATACTGTACTTTCTGTCATTTCCCCAGTTAGTTCCCTCTGTCCTTTACAAAAAGGAAAAGGGAGATGGGATCTTATGGAGGTAATTATTTCTGAGAGCCCAGTCTGTCAACCACCCCTCCATCCCTCCACCACCCACAAGTCTCCATCCCTCTAACCCAACCCCCCTCCCAGCGCCACCACCCAACATGCATTAAAGAGGGAGGGAGAGGACCCTCTTTGTCTAAGTCCCCCTTTTAAACAAAAGACCTCTTCTGACTTAAAGAGACCGACAACACTTTTATCATGTGTGTATATGCGAGTGTGTATGTGTGTGTGTATCCAGAGCCTTTTGTTTTCTCTGAGTGATAAGGCTCTGGGTCATTTTGGTCCTAGTTAAATTAGTGTAGCTGTGGTAACCATTTAGAAAGCAGCTGTAGGCTAAAAACGAAGCTAATGGACACTTATTATCCTTATATGTGCCTGTGCTTCCAGCAGGAAGTGATGGAGCATGGGCAGAGAGAAAAAGTGCCATCTTGTCTGTGTCCAAGTGCGCTGACATTCCTTGTTCACGAAATGTAACCCACCCAAAACTGAGCAAAAGCACCGAAAACAATCATTCAATTTCCAATGTGGGAAAGGGCTTTGCTGTTTCCCAAAGAACATTATGATGTGATGACACAGAGGCATATTTTGAGGTATTAAGTTTTCCCTCCTCCCTCACTTTCAATCCTTCATCTTATACTTTTTTCCTCTGGGTAGTGGGGGTGGTTTCGCCATTCCAGCGGTTGTCTTCCTTTTTTTTTTAAAGAAGGTCTCTCCTCAGACAGAAGTCTATTTCCAGGGTTTGTCTCAGTAATTTGTGGCCATTACATAAACATTCACGGATGGCCGGAGGAGTGAGAGAAAGGATGCAACACACACACCCAGATCGAGCTAACCGCTGGAGTTAGCGCAGCTTTGGCCATTTTCTTTTTTAAGTCAGATAGAGTTGGTAAGAGCCTCTGTCTGACTCATTAAAGGACATTTTGTCAATTTGTAGTTACTGTTTGTTCTTGCTTTGCAAATGCCATCTTTTAATGCTTTTATCATTTAGATATCTGTGTTTAGATTAGAAGTTTAATAGGTTAGGGCAGTCAATTATATTGCATATTGATTTGCTTACAAAAAGCTGATTGCCTACAGTTAATACATTATTCGTGACCTTTTCTCTCATTTAATGTGAATCAGAAAGTTACTTACATAAATGGTAAAGTCCACAGATCCCAGTCAGGCGGGATCCATTCCTCGCGTAATAAAACCTTGGAATGTTATTTTATGTGCCCAAAATGAATAAAAGCACTTTCTGGGGAGATCTATTCTGATGAGAGTGATGTGATGTTACCCAGGAGGATTTCTGTGAACTATGCCGTTTTTTTATTGCTGTACAATTAGCTGGAGACAATACACAGCATTTTAAATCATTTGTCAAATCAAAATAAGACACATTCATATATGTATATTATTATATTTTCGACAAGTAGCAATTTACCCCAAATTTCCCAAAACCATATTCTCTATGGCTGAGGGAGTAAAAGATGTGGTC